TGCTCGCGAGCCTACAACAGAAGTCTGGTTTGCTCTCCCGGCCCTCATCTTATGTCTAGGTTTCCCCCGGGTTTGTTGGCTTGTGCAAAAAGCATTATTGCCTCAACCCAACCACACTATGTCGAAATATGCAACAGATAAGCATATAACCAACAAACATATATCATGCAGATCTACCAGTCTTGCAGAACACTACATCATAGCAACATCCTATATACCAGGACACATCAAAAACCTAGTGGGTTGGCATTGGTGCCTTCCACCCACGAGTACAGTGAGGAAAACTCACCTCACATTCTGAAGGATATTTGAACCGATAACTGCTCCAAACACTGTCCCTACAGATCACCTATATAATAAACAGGAACCCAGACTCAATCTACTATCCAAATTACCCCAAATGACCTAAGGTCAAACTTGGTCAAAGTCAACGGTCAACGGTCAAAAGTCAACCTCCAGTTGTTTGTCACGTCGCGGCCATCCTTGGCCACGTTGTCGCAAAGAAACGACAAAACTGACGGCATCTTGCCTAGTCGCCATGTCGTGGCGACCTAAGGCCACAACGTGGGCACTGGGTTCCTAACAGCTTAATGGGTTAAGTCATTTTCTTCAATTCTAAGGGCTCCAAAGCTCAGATTTGGTCCATTCTATGCTCTAAATGGATAAAGTTTCCAACTTTATCCCTTAAGACTCTCCAAGAGATCAATATCTCAACTCCTAAATCCAAAAAGGGCAAAAACATAACATGGCTAAATCATTAAGCACTTAATCTTGAAGGTTTCTTGTCCAACAATTCCAAAAGGGTTCCTAGCACCAATACTAACATAAAAATGTTGGATTAGGTGTCTAAGACAATAACTAAATTAGTATAATCTTGAATAATTAGCAAAATCCTGTTGGGTTGCCTTCATAACCAGAAATATCTAGAAATGATATTAGGAGAATGAGAGATAAAATGATTTGTTAATATATTATGTGATTAATATATTAGTTGGAAATAGATAATTGATATGTTAATTTATTATTAATAAATTAACATGAGATTAATAGTTGAATAATTGGTTTGAAATCAATTAGAATTAACTAATAATTGATTAAAATTAATTTGGAATTAATTTGGGGTCAATTGGAATTAATTAATTATACAAGGGTTACTTTGTAATTGTTCAATAGTTGAGCAAGAGAGAGATTCTAGAAACATCCATGCTTGAACGGTTTTGATACCCTATTAGGGTAATCTAGAATGCTCCAAATGGATAATTAGGAAACTAGATAATTATCTATTTATGGGTTGTCACTATCTAGGGTTTCTTATGGATATCTAGCAGCTATATAAAGACCCCTTTAGGCTAAAATTTTCGTATATCTCCTTCTAAGAAGCATATGAACAAAAATTCTTGCTCTCCTCTTTCAACTCTTCATTCTATGGTTTCTAGTGTTTTGGGTGTGAGCCATTAGAGACACGAGATTTTTGGTGCTTGCTTTCCAAGGTTTTCTATAAGGAGTTTGAAGTGATGTGTTTACTACAACAAAAATCAAAGGTATGTAACCTTAATTCTTGTAATTTGATTATGCTAGGAAGTCATTAGGGTTTTACTTATTTTGTTGTTCATGACATGTTACATTCAAAGTGTTAAAGACATAGATCATTTAGGTTGCATGTGCCCTTAAATGTTAATTGAAATTCCTCAAGCACATAGTTATTATAATCTATACAACCCATCAAAAAATTCATGCTTTTTAGACATATATGTCCAATGCATGTCTTGAACTCCTATTAGGTCAAAACAAGGGTTAATGACCGAGATTCCATGCATGACACCAAAACTCATTCCTACTTCAGATCCAAAACACCAAATACTCCAAATAGCCTGAAGATTCATAAAGTTGCAAACATTATGAGATCTCACCACCCAAACCCATCAAGATATGTAGAAAAAGGACAAAATCTAAAGATCTAGCAACTTAGCAAGGAAAAGGTTAAGTCTTGGACACTCACCAAGGTCCATAAGATATGCTAGAATATGTAGATGATGCTTGCAATGTGAATCACCACACTAAAGGCTTCCTTCTCCTTCAAATATCACCAAAAGTACTAAAACAAGTTTACAAATGCAATGGAGGCTAGGGTTAGGGTTTCTGAGCTTGAAAGGATGTTGGAGGTTGAATGATCACAATATCCTAGCCACAATTTCCTTTAAATAGGGCCAAAAGCCCAAGGATTGGGGTTTTCTCCAAAAATAGTTGTCACACTGTGGCACCTATGGCCACGCCATAGCGGGTCATGCGATCATAAAAATATTGTCACATCATGGTGAAGCTCCACCACGTCGTGGCCACCCAAAATAAAAGTTTAACATTTAGAAATTAACTCCTACATGGGATGTGTGTTACATTAGTACATATATATATATATATATATATATATATATATATAATGATCAATAAATGCATGTTGATTTGGTAATTTTCGTTTGTGATGATTACTTGTTAAAAGCTTTGGTAATTGGTATTTTGTCCCAAGTGCAAGAAATAGCAATGTAATTTGGTATCAATCAATACATGTTGATTTGGTAATTTAGTTTTTATCCCAAGTGCAAGCAATAGCAATGTGCGTTGGTATTTTCTTGTATTTAAGGTTCTTTAGCACAAAATAAGTAGAAAGTAAGCTACTATTTCTTTAACTTCAAAGTCTCATATGTGTATCAATAAATGCATGTTGATTTGGTAATGGTGTTAATAATTACGTTTATATTCCAAGTGTAAGAAATAGCAATGTACTTCGGTTTTTTGTCCCTAGTTCAAAAATAGCAATGTAATTTGGCATCAATAAATGCATGTTGATTTGGTAATTGTGTTTAGGTCCCAAATGCAAGAAATAGCAATGTATTTTTGCTATTTATTGTATTTAAGTGCAAAAAATAGCAATGTACTTTGATAGTTTTTGTTTATGGTGATGGTTTAACTTATAAGTTTATATATGTTGTTATTTATTATGTAGTTGGAAAATATTCATGCAATGCTCAATGACCCGTCGTATAGGGAGGAATTTATGTGTTTTTTCATTTGGGGAAACCACCAAGTGATGAGCAAGGAGGAAACGAGGAGAGCAAATATGATTCATCGGATTAGTTTGTATTTTGTTAGACTTATTATGACATAACTTTATAACATGTTTGTTGTTTATTTTGGTATTTGTATGAAATTATAACATTTTGGTACTTAATTGGATATTTTTATGTAAATTTTTATGTATATAATTTTTTCGTGTTTTCGATGATTAATGTCTTTACGTATCGGTTTTTCTACACCCGAAAAGGGCAGAATTAAAAATATGAAAATAACTATTACTCGTGATACACGTTTATTACCGGCGACAACCTATTACCGACGTCATTACAGATGACATAATTATTAGCGTCGACAGGTAGCTTTAGCGGCGACGTTGAGCAATAGCGACTAGGCAGTACCAACGACTCTTTAGCAGCAACATGTCGCCACTATTACCTTTAGCGGCGACAAGGCTGAGTTTTAGCGACAATTTTTCTCGCCACTAATACTCGTTTTTCTTGTAGTGGTAGGGACTTGTTAAGTTATGAAGTTTGAGACCAGGAGGACTAGAGGACCAAATATCATGATATCCAAAAGCCCAAAAGTTAAGTGATACATGATAAATAGTAATCGAGGGAGTAACGTAAATGTCAAGTGACATGCACACAATGTAGCCTCTATGCCTCTTGAGCCCAATAACCACTTAGTTCCAAAGTGTAGTACCCCTCTTAGTGATCTTACTGCTTACAATAGTTGGTTGGTTTGTTAGTTTAGATCACAGTGAAACATCAAGTTCTTACATATGTAATTCTCATAGTTAGTAATGTTACTTCTTATTTTGGTCATTGTGAAGTTGTCCCCCATATTTTTTCGTTCCTTAAGAGTATTATGCTTCATCGACTTTAAATTTTGTCTGACTTGTCTTTGATTATGAATTATTCTTAGATACAGACCGGGACAGTGACTTGATTGACATAAGGTTTACTAGTGATTACTATTTTTTTCATGCCATACTCTCATATCCTAAAGGAGTAAGAAACAATCTCTGACAGCTCGGGCAATACATAAGTTGAATATCACGATCTAACATATACAACTCAAGTATTAGTTTGGCTATGGTAGCTCTTAGCCAACATGGTGTAACCTCATGCCCTTCATATGTCAGTGTGGTATGATAACAATAGTTCTATTTATATTGACCACAATGATGTCTTTCACAAATGTACAAAACATATTGAGATCGACTGCCACTTTGTTAACCATCATGTTCTTGGAAAAACAGTTCGACCTCTACCAATCTCTACTACTGATGATCAAGATGCATATATTTACACTAAGGAACACTTTCCTGGTCGTCTTGAATTCCTTTTCTCCAAACTTAAGTTGGATCACACATTACCCACTTTAGTTTGGGAGGAGGTGTGTGTTTTAGAGTGTATTTGGTCGGTTTTTATTCAGGGTTACTTTTGTATATACCCGTATTTATTGGTAGTTTATGTATTCTCCATTAAGTGACTAGGTTTTATTATTGTAATCCAAACCGTTATAAAGCCAAGTTCTTTTTTCTACACAATAAAAAATATTGACTTCGTTCTCAATTCTTAATTTGTTTGGATTCCACTCATAAAATATAACAAGCGACAAAATTTTGGTTTTTTGCATTCCAAAAGACTTAAATTTGCACCAATTTTATCGATCAGATTAAGTTGGATGCATCAACACTTGGCTTAGAATTTACAAAAGATAGTAGTAATGCACAAGGTCATACGACAACTGAGATTTGATATATATAGAAAACCAAAAACGAAAATAAACTCGTTTGGAGTTTGACTCCAATACAATAGAGTCAACAAAGCCGACAAAAAAGAACGGCTCCTAGACTTCGTCTTCAGCATTCTAACACACCATTAAACCTAGTAAAAGCACTCGATGAGTACACATATTGAGTTCTAGAACCATATAGCTCGTGCTTCAATGAGCTTTTGTTTCAGGGACCCGTCAACATGAAGAGAAATAACATCTCTTGTTGAACCTATATATTTACCACCTACAAACACTACAGGGATGGTCGGATTACAACCAAGCCGCTGTAGGGCCCATTCCATATCTGCATCGTGATCAACTTCATGAATCGCAGGACTTGCACCAAGATCATAAAATAGTGCCTTGATACTATGGCACATACAACACGAGCTTTTCGTGAAAACAACTGCAGCTTTCTTGGAAGCCAAATCTTTCACCCTATCCATTTATGATGCTAAAAACTATCAATCAATTCAACTGAGATCACTAACTTGTTTAAATTTTAAGTTTCTTTGCATCTTATATAGGCTTACACTAAGGGGAAAAGGAGAATCTAAACGCATTGAAAATTTGTATATATATATATATATATATATATATATATATATATATATATATATAAGTTTTTTTGGATATTTTAATTGGGAAAATCATGGTTTGATGATTTGTTTGAAAACGATGATTTGTGTTATAAAAAAGTCGACACAGGAGGAGCATATATTCTTTAGTTTAGTGGAGAAATACTATGTTAATTGTCAAAGGGGAAAATTTTGGAAACATGTTCCGCTTGCTGACATGGAATGATGTAAACTATAGTTATTCAGTTGTTATCGAGTAGAATCTATGGATGAGTAGATGACGAATAATATTCAAGAATCGCAGTAAAGTTATGATGCCTCGTTTATAAGGATACATTGGCCAATTTTAATGAGCCAACAAGTCATCAGGATAAGTAACAATCAAGATGAACATATAATGTTTTGGAAGAAACTCGAATCTGTTAAAGAAATTTGGAATGTGAAGGTTTTTTTAACAAACCTATGCATGTACGATATAATTATAAAATCGTTACCTAACTTTCTCTCGAACTCAAGATGAAAAGTTATTATAAAATATAAACAAGAGAACATAATTGTAAAGGAAGTCAACACAAACTTGACAAAATCATCAATTCATCACTTTTTTTTATCCAGGTTATACATATATATGTACTTTATCTACATTATCTTCCTTGGACCAATCTACAACGGATTTTAAAGATATTTAAAAATACTTTTTAATGCTCTGCTATTTTAATTAGTAAGAATTCTGGAAGATATCTTCGATGCGCTGCAAACAGGTGGATGTTTATCAGATAAATTAATCAAAATATACTTCTAATCTTATCTGAACTGATAACCACCTATCTGATGCTTTAAACAACAAGAATCAATTTATGCATATATAATTTAGCTATGATGCTGAAATAAGCATCTACATATGCCAAACTTCCACTTTTTGGGTTTCCTAAACTAAAACGTTGGGAATCTTGATATGGGGGACATAAAAGGCTACATGATCTCCACCCTTTAAGATGCCCAAAAAGGGATTCATCACTAACCTAAACATTTACATGTCATCATGTATCAATGATTTTTTATAGTTGTACATGTATGAAGAAAAAGAAAGGTACGTCATCGATGATCATGAAGTGACTAGATTTAGGGAATATATGAAAAAACTCTAAGACCATCGGGTATGGTCACCACGCCAAGGGCAAGCGGCTTATGTTTGACGTGCTTAGGGGTGTGCAAAAAAACCGAAAAAACGAGTCGAACCAGCCAATCCAAAACCGTAACCGAAAAAAACCGAAACCGAAAAAACCGGATATTAACGGGTCGCTTTTGGTTTTGATATTTAGGTATCCGCGGATATCCGAACCGAACCGTTTGATATATATATATATATATATATATATATATATATATATATATATATATATATATATATAGGTTCATTTGAGACCATGTTAATTTTGTGAAACCGTGCGACGCAATCTAAAAATAATTTTAAAATAGAAAATAAAAGGAAAAATCCAAAAATTCTTTTTTTAATTATTATTTTCGTCATTTTATTTACCTAAAATAAATAAAAATTACCATTTTTTTAAATACGTGAAATATTCTAATTGTATATTACACTATAAATATTCTAATGTGATTTTTAAAATGTTAGAATATTCTAATATTCTACTAGATTTGTCAGATATGTAAAATATTCTATTATTCTATTAGAATATTTCACAGATATTTCAAAAAAACGGTAATTTTTTTATTTTTTGTTTACATTTTTTTTTTTGAAATATAAATGACAAAAAAATTTCAATTATTTTGCATTTTAAAAATGTTTTTTTATCTACAAAATGAGTGGCTATGATTACGTCTCCCCGTCTCACAAAATATAGTGGTGTCACATGAACCTACTATATATATATATATATATATATATATATATATATA